GGGCCCGGAGCAGACAGGGGTGCAGCAGATGGGCTTGCAGCAGACAGGGGTGCAGCAGACGGGCTTGCAGCAGACAGGGGTGCAGCAGACAGGGGTGCAGCAGACGGGCTGGCAGCAGTCTTCCTGGCAGGGGGAGGAGCTGCAGCAGGAGGGCTGGCAGCTAGACTGCTGGCAGCATGAGGAGGCTGAGCAGGGGGAGGCCTGGCAGCAGACAGGGGTGCAGCAGACAAGGGTGCAGCAGATGGGCTTGCAGCAGACAGACACACAGCAGTCTCCCTGGCAGGGGGAGGAGCTGGAGCCGGAGGGCTGGCAGGAGCTAGTGCAGGCTGACTGGCAGGGGCTGGACCCGCAGCTCGCAGGGGTGCAGATGAGGGTCAGGCAGGAGGCTGGGGCGCAGCAGCTGGGGTCACAGCAGGTGGATTCACAGCAGCTGGGGACACAGCAGGTGGGGGCACAGCAGGGGTGGGCACAGCAGGGGGGCTCGCAGCAGCTCTCTGGGCAGTCGTCCACCTGCCAGGAGTCGGGGCAGGAGTCACAGGAGCCGGGCAGGCAGACGCGGCTGCCGTAGCTCCGGTCGCTGGAGCAGATGGACAGGGTGGACGCGGCCATGGTGGGGCGGTGGGGCTGGAGGAGGCTGTGAGTGTGAGTGTGAGTGTGAATGTGTGAGTGTGTGTGAGGCACTGAGCTGTCTGTCGGCTTTTATACCCTCCTGGGTGTGTTTGTCCCAGCAGCAACCCTGCTCGCCTCCCTTCCTTGTTGCTGTTTGGAACCCCAGGGACTCTCATTAGCGACAGCTGCGTGTTTGGTTCTAGAGGTGTTTGCTTAGCTATAAAACTCTTAGTGTGTTTTGGGGTCTGTTGACTCATCCTAAGCTACCCGTGGTCTAGAGCACGCATTGAGCTAGAAAAGTGAGTCTGTAAACAGCATGTCATGGGGCCAGGTTGGCTGCATAAGAATCCATCTATTCCAATCCTAACTGCCCTTTGCGGACACCTGGGTGGGTCCTGTGCACACTGGGGGCCCCGCTTGTCAGCGTGGCACAGCTGCCGGTCAGAGAGAGTGTGGAGCCGGACATGTTCTGGTTGTGACTCCCTGGTCCTCTCTCTGGTGTGGGGAGTCCCCTGAGGGCACACGCAGGTGGCAAGCATGGGGAGGTGGGGCGGTCAGGTGGCCACTTTCCATGTCCTTGGGTGGCCATGCGGGCCACTTCTGCCTGACCACTCACCGAGCCATGTGCATGGCCTTCTTACGCCCAAACCCTGCACAACTTGAGTACAAACTGGAGTGCCCTATTTCCCGCCTGCAGGAAGTGCAGCTCCCACAAAGCCTTCATAGGAAAAGCAATGGTTTTTTGTGTCTCCTGTTGATTTTCTTGACTGTTAACTGAAAAATTCCTTGGGTCACCCCAGCCAGAAACTTGAAGGTCATCCAAACCCCTTCCTTTCTTCTGCAAAGAATATCTAAGTGGCCACCAAGTGGTTTTGGTTCCCTCTGCTAAATAAGTTTCCATCCTCCCTGGTCCTTCTACCTTCCAAGCATGAATGTATTCACTTTGGAGCCAGCCCCCCATGTGCTGGAAACTGTTGAGCTGGAGAATGCATGGGTCATGACTCCATGGAGGCCTGTCAGCCAGGGGAGGTGGGTGCTTGGTGCCCCACGATGATAGTGAAGAGGGGATTCAGCAGCACGGGGCCTGGGGGAGTGGCATCACACCCCAGCGGGAGGTCTCTGGGGGCGTGCAGGTAGCGTATGCTGCCCCTGCTGCACCTGTGCCCTCTGATTCTCACCCTTCCTGGCCATTCTGTTTCCAGAAGAGGTTCTCAGCCCAAGCCTCTCACCTACGAGGACGTCCATGCTTGGGAAGAAAGGGGTTCTAGGAATTCAACTAAACTGTGGCTGAGTTGTCTTTCTGTATGTCTTGAGTTATAAACCTGGTGTAGATCTGAGTCTGGTTCAGCTTCTGGCCCTTCTGGAGATACAGGAACTAATCTGTAAGCTAGAAGTGCTTGGCAGGGGTGGGGAGAGGGTGCTATTTGCTGTCTATGATGTGGCAGCCTCTGTTAGATATATGTATGCTGGCTGAGGATGGCCCAAACCTGGATAAGATGCAAAAACATCTGTGCGGAGCTTCTGACAGCTGCTGATGAGACCGAGTGTTGAGGGCCAACACGTGGAGAGGAGCGATGCTAGAGAGGCAGGCTAGCATCTCGGAACGGCTTTTCCTGAAGTGCGACTGATGAATCCTGCTGTGGGGTGTGAAGGGAAGTGACTGGCATGCAGAGAGGCTGGCAGAGCTTTGGGAAACCTCAGGGAGGGTGGAGAGAACTCCACGGGAGTCTGCGACTGCAGAGGCAACATGGACCCAAGGGGTCAAGACCCCAGGGAGATGGCAGTCCCCCAGAGGAATTCCAGAGCTGCAGGCTGAATCTCAAGGCATTTGCCAAATTTTTATGCTATGCAGGAAAGGTGCTAAGAAAGCCAGCGGAAAGCCTTAAAACCCAAGCAGAGATTCAGCAGCCTCATTGCCAGGGAGACTCATAACCCTGATGACTGACCAAGGAGGAGCCACTCTCAGGTGAGATCCCAGGACAGCTTGGCCCCAGGAGGGGAGAACCCTCACATCGGTTTGAGTCCTCTGCCCCACCCAGGCCTCCAGCCAGAGTGAAATTCCTCGGAAGGAGAGAAACTCATCCAGAGCTGCGAGACTTTTTCACAATGTCAAACATTCAATCAAGAATTACAGTCATGTCAAGAGACAAACAGATGATAGAAACAAGCCTGAGGTGACAGTGTTGGAGTTAATCAGACACAGACTTTCGAGAGAATTGTGTTGGAAGTGCTCAGGGAAATAGGTGTAAGGAGGGAGACCTTTATTGTAAAACTGAAACACAGACGAAGAAACAAGTAGAAATTTTTGACTGAAGAGAACACAAGACTGACATTTATGAACCGATCTGTGGCCGTCATAACAGCATGGGGGGCAGATAGTGGGAACGGAACAATGGGATGGCATCTTTAAGGGGCCAAATGAAATGACTGCAGAACTGGAATAGAGCTCCCCAAGAATGCCGATCAGAGGTGAAGGTGCCACAAAACATCACTAGACCAGCAAATGCAGAGTGAAGTCCTCACCAGAAGATGCACTTTGAAGTCGCTGCCACAGGAAGCTTTTGGGTAGGATGGCCGGAGGGCAGAAGTGCAGGACAATGGAGGAGAACCTGAAAGGATAGATAACAGTACAAGTAGAGTGGAAACTGGCCCACATGTCCCTTCGCAATGTTATACTATATATCATATTTACACTTTCCTGTGGGCTCTACAGTCTAGTAGAGATGAACAGTGCAGCACAAGCAGGGGGAGGAGCTGAGGTGTGCTGGGGTCTCAGGGCTGCACCGGAAGTGGCCCGTGCCCATCGGACTTGACCATCTTAGGAAGGCACTCTGTAGCCTCTGGGCTGACCTCTGAGACAGTTACGAAACCACAGACAACAACTAATGAATGGGACAAGGCAGATAAATAATAAAAATACCCCAAAGCGGTCAGGAGATAGTTTGTAAAAGGAACATAAGATGTTTTAGAGAAACAGAAAACATATAGCCAGATTGCAGATATAAACCCAACTATCAATACTGAAGTTAAATGTCAAGTATCAAATAAAATATTTCAAGTCACAAATAAATAAAATAAAGAGTCTGACAAAAATGGAAAACCTGCATACTAACTCTAAGAACTAGATCCTAAATATAAGGGCACAGGAAGTTTGGAAGCACAAAGATGGGAAACATATAGACAAATACAGAGGACAATGTGAGATTCTGTGAAGCCCTAACCAAAAAAGAGAAATCTTTATGTATTCATGGGAAAGGAGCTCCATTGTTACATTAAGTTACAAAAAAACAGAGTGGGTAGATTATGATACAATGTATTTTAAAAATGTACATTATACACATATGAGTACGTGTACAGAGAACGATGACAAAGTCAATCTTCATTATTCATGGATTCTTTATCTGTGATTCACCTACTCACTAAAATTCCTTTGTAACCCCAAATCAGTACTCACAATGTGCGCCTGGTCATTCGCGGACATGCGCAGACTGCTCCAAATTTAAGAAGTGGACACGTGTTCCCAGCTGAGGTGGAATGAGGCTCTGCCTCCCATGTCGGCCCCCAGACTGTAAGCCTGTCCTCGCACTTCATGTCGCTTTTTGTGCTTTATGCTGTGATTTTGCTGGTGAAAGTGGCACCAGGCGTAGCACTGGAGGTCTAGAGTTCTGAGCACAAGAGGGCTCACGTGCCTTATGGAGAAAATCCGCATCTGATAAGCCTTGCTCAGGTGTGACTGAAGGTGCTCTTGGCAGGGAGTCCACTGTTAAATAAAATGTATCTCAAGTATTTATTAAATAAGTCACTTTAAACAGAAACACACATCTAACCCACCATGTACTGAGGGTTGCTGAAAATCTGACCAGAGCTTGCAGGGACCCAACCCCGTAATCCCGTGTTCCCAGATTTGCTAATTCAGTGTTTTTGGTGACTTTCTAGAACCTAGTGACTGTGTAAGGAGAATGCACTGTGTGTGTGCACGTGTGTGTGCAGAGAGAGAATAAGGGGCAATGAGACCGAGAGACAGGCACAGGGATAAGGGGGGAATGGAGCTGTTTCCTGAGAGGAGGCTGGGGTGCTGGTACTCAGGGCTGAGGGACACTCGCCCTATACCCGCCATCCCCTGCTCTGATAACCAGGGCTGGGACTCCTGCTCCCCAGGACACAATGAGACACTCCGGAGTCAGCTGCTCCAGGAGTTTTATGAGCCAGACAATATCCCGGCAAACAAACACCAACGTGGCCTGGGAGCCGGAACTAGAGCCTGCTGGGCGCCTGGGAGACAACAGCCAGGAGGGTATAAAAGCTGTCAGCCTCAAGCACCACACACACACACACACACACACACACACACACTCACACTCTCAGCCTCCTCCAGCCCCACCGCCCCCACCATGGCCACGTCCACCCTGTCCGTCTGCTCCAGCGACCGGAGCTACGGCAGCCGCGTCTGCCTGCCCGGCTCCTGTGACTCCTGCCCCGACTCCTGGCAGGTGGACGACTGCCCAGAGAGCTGCTGCGAGCCCCCCTGCTGTGCCCACCCCTGCTGTGCCCCCCCCTGCTGTGCCCCCTCCTGCCTGACCCTCATCTGCACCCCTGTGAGCTGCGGGTCCAGCCCCTGCCAGTCAGCCTGCACCAGCCCCTGCCAGCCCTCCAGCTGCAGCTCCTCCCCCTGCCAGGGAGACTGCTGTGTGTCTGTCTGCTGCCAGCCCGTCTGCTGCACCCCTGTCTGCTGCAAGCCCATGTGCTGCACCCCTGTCTGCTACACCCCTGTCTGCTGCAAGCCCGTCTGCTACACCCCTGTCTGCTCTGGGCCCTCCCCCTGCTCGGCCTCCTCCTGCTGCCAGCCCAGCCCCTGCTCCTCGTCCTGCTGCAGACCGTCCTCCTGCGTGTCCCTGCTCTGCCGCCCCGTGCGCAGACCCGCCTGCTGCGTGCCCGCCTCCTCCTGCTGTGCCCCCGCCTCCTCCTGCCAGCCCAGCTGCTGCCGCGGGGCCTCCTGCATGTCCCTGCTCTGCCGCCCTGTGGGCTCCCGCCAGGCCTGCTGTGTGCCCGCCTCGGCCCAGAAGTCCTGCTGCTGACGGGGCCCGTCTCCCGCGGGGCCAGCTGGGCTCAGGACCCACCCAGTGACAGTGGTCCTCCCAGCCCCCTCAGTCCGGTCCTGACCTGTTAGGTGGCTGCCCACACCCAGGACAGGGTCTTCCATGCGTCCACTCTGCTGACATGACCTTGACCTTATAGCTCCCAAGAACGCTGACCCCGCTGGTCCCCAGGGCTCCTGCTCCCAGGAGGGGCCTCCACCACTTCTGCGTCCCCCATCCTTCCCTCCCAGTTTCTCAGCTCGGGTCCCGTGACCTCAACTGCTGACCTCTCAGCGCCTGCTCAGACACCCCAATAAACTCACTCACCAGCGCATCTGCTTCCTTTCATCCGACCCTCATGGGGGTTGGGGGTGTCCAGGGGTCTGAGCAGACATTGGTCTCCTCCATCCAGGAACATTTCTAGGAATGGGGGACTGAGAAATCCCTCAGGGCAGGGCCCCGGGGTGGGAGGCCTGCCCCGGCCCAGGAAGGTCAGGGCTGCTGGACCCTGCGTGCCCAGGGCTTCCCGAGGCTGGCTACCAGCACATGGGTCGTGGTCTGGGGGTTCTCAGCCCCTGGCCCGTTTCCACCCACAGCCCCAGCTGGGCAAACCGGCCCCAGACGAGCTGGCCTGGGGGCTGCAGTAGCACAGCCCCTATGGGCCAGGGTCCCCCTGGGGTCCTCCCACGGGCTGTACCCATTTAGCAGAAAGGTGGTGGCGTAGGGGAGGCACTGCTCCAAGGTCCCAAAGAAAACAACTAGGTTTGAAACAAAATATTACGGGTCAGTGACAGGACCCCCAGGATCCCGTCCTGGGCGGGACTCTGAAGGCCATCATCTGATGGGTCTGGACTCCACCTGGGAGCCTGAGGGACACGGAGACCTGGTGCGGGGCCTTCCCTGTTAACTGAGAAACCATCGGGCCTTGAATTGCTGTGAAGAGCGGGCTGCTCAGATATCAGGATGACAGAGGTGTCGCGTGCGGACACTGGTGGACAAGAGTGGGGACATCCAGCAAGATCACCCCGCCTCGGGGTTTCAGAACTGTTGCAAGCTGTGGCCCAGCGGCCCCGCCCGCCCCTGCCGAACCCTCCCCTCCCTGCCCATGAGCCCCACTCTCCCCATGGCTGTGTCCACAGCAGAACCCAGAAAGGAAACCCATGCTCTCCCCTGGCTCTCCGTCTCCTTCCCTGCAACCCCAGCCACCTCCTGCCCACGCCACACTCCCCACCTGCTACAGGTTCCTTGCCTAAACCCTGCCCCAACCCTAGCAGTGTTTTAACTAACTCCTTAGTTTAAAATCAGCTTTCTGGGTCCAACGTACATACAGTCAGACGCGCCTTGTCTCACTGCACCGTTTGATGAGTTTTGAGAAGCGTCTGCGTCTTGCTACCTCCGCGGGGTCGGGGGCTATCCGCTTCCCCTCCCGCCAGAGGTTTCCCTCGTCCCCAGCCTCGTGCCTGCCCGCCGCCTGGCAGCAGGGGCCCCGCGGGGCTGCCGAGGCTGACCTCTTCTGGAGCGTCCCAGGGAAGGAAGCCACAGGCAGGCTCCGCGACCGGCTTCGTGCACTTGCCTCTTCTGCCGCGCATGTTCACGGTGAATTCCTTCTTCACTGCCGAGTGGCGTTTTATGGCACGGGGGGGTCACAGCCGTGCCCTCGCCTGCTGAAGTCCGTCTGGGGCGTCTCCAGGTTTCAGCGGTTATGAAGGAAGCAGCCGGGAGCACCCGTACTCCACGCGCGGCCCACTTACCGTGTGTGTGTGTGTGTGTGTGTGTGTGTGTGTGTGTGTGTGTGTACGCGGCAGATTTCCCCGCCTGTGCCCAGACTTCTCAGCTTCCTGCGGCATTTTGCAGTAGCTGGTATCTCTCATTTTGATTAAATTCGATGAATTCCCTTTTTCAGTGGTGCTGAGAAATCTGCCTAAACCCAGGGTCACGCTGCTTTTGTCCTATGCGTACCTCTAAATATTCTATGGCTTTAACTTTTGTGTTAAGTTCTAGGACCCCTTTCTAGTTAATGTTTGAATCCGCTGTTGGTTGTTCCAGAATCACTTAGTGAGAGGATTATCCTTTTTCCACTGAATGACCCTCGCCAAAGAATCTGTGGACTGTACGTGTGCGGGTCTACTTCCGGACCCTGCTGTGTCCTGTCTTCAGCCTTTGTTCTTGTACCAATAATACACGGGCTCCACCAACACAGCTTTACGTGAAGTCTTGAAATCAAGCAGCTAGTCATCCGATTGCATTTTTCTGTTTCTGTTTCTCTTTTAAAGATTTTATTTATTTATTTGACACAGAGAGAGAGAGAGAGAGAGAGAGAGGGAACACAAGCAGGGGAAGTGGGAGAGGGAGAAGCAGACTCCCTGCTGAGCAGGGAGCCTGATGCGGGACTCGATCCCAGGACCCTGAGATCATGACCTGAGCCAAAGGCAGAGGCTTTAACCCACTGAGCCACCCAGGTGACCCCACTTTTCTTCTTCAAAATTCGTTGGCTATTCTAGATCCTTTACATTTCTGTATCGATTTTAGAATCAGATCATCATTTTCTAAAGAAGAACTTGCTGGGATTTTTATTGGAATTGCATTAAACTTGCAATTAAATTTGGGAAGAATTGACATCTTAACAATATTGAGTCTTTCAATTCATAATTATAAATCTATTTCTAATCCTTTTGGATGACTTTTTTCTCAATACTTTATCATTTTTAATACATAGACCTTGTACATATATTAAGCTTCTCTATTATTTTATTTTTCAATGTTTAAGTTAATGGTGTGTTTATTTCATTTCCAAGTGCTCATTGCTACTATGTAGAAATTTAATCAGTTTTTGTGTGTTGACCTTGTATCCTGTGACCTTGCTAACTGCACTTAGGAATTTTAAAAAAAAATCTATTTATTTATTTATTTATATTTCTTTTCCGTGCTCAAGAATTCATTGTTGATGCACCACACCCAGTGCTCCATGCAACATGTGCCCTCCTTAATACCCACCACCAGGCTCACCCAGCCCCCTACCCCCCGCCCCTCCAAGACCCTCAGTTTGTTTCTCAGAGTCCACAGTCTCTCATGGTTCACCTCCCCCTCCAGTTTCTCCCCAGCTCCCTTCTCTCCATCTCCCCATGTCCTCCATGTTATTCCTTATGCTCCACAAGTAAGTGAAACCATATGACAATTGACTCTCTCTGCTTGACTTATTTCACTCAGCATCATCTCCTCCAGTCCCGTCCATGTTGCTACAAAAGTTGGGCATTTAGCATTTTTACACATTAGGATTGGGCATGGGATTTTCTCTGTGGGAAGGATCTTAACTATAATTCTGTTACTTCAATGGATAGAGGGCTATTTTGGTTTTCTATTTCTTCTTGTATGAGTTTTTATATGAATATATCCTTCCAGTTCCTTGTCCGTTTCACCTAAGTTGCTGACTGTGTCGGCATCAAGAGTTGCGTTCTTCTTTTATTGTTCTTTTAATGTTTGTAGAACCTGGGGCAATATTTCATTATTCCTGATGTTGTCTATTTATTTCCTTTTCGTTTCTTTTTCTTGACTAGTTAATGTAGAAATTTATTAATTTTGGCGATCTTCTAAAAAATTAGACTCGGTTTTATTAATTTTCTCATTTGTCTGTTTTCTGTTTGGTAGATTTCTACACTTCTCGATAATTTCCTTCCCTCTACCTATTTTGGATTCAACATGTGCTTCTTTTTGTAGCTTCTGAAGGTAGAACCTCAGATAATTGATGGATTCCTTCTTTATTATTATGAATTATTAAAGCTATAGATTTTCCCCTATATACTGTGTTAGTTGCATTCTATAAAGTTTATTTTTATTTTATTAATATTTCCAATTTTCCACTGTGATTCCTTCTTTGACTCATGGATTATTTTGAAGAGTGTTATTTAATATCCAAATAGTTTTGATTTTCCAGATATCTTTCTGTTCATGATTTCTGATTTTGTTGTGGTCAAACAACATTCTCAGTATGATTTCAATCCTATTAAATATATTAAGGCTGGTTTTATGATCCAGGATATGATTTATTTTGGTGAATGTTCCATGTACACTTGAAAAAATGTGAACTCGACTTCACTGTTGTTGGATGGAATATTGTATACATATCAGTAAGCTCAGGTTAGTGTGTAGTGTTTCTCAAGTTTTCTATGTACTTCTCAATTTCATCCAATTTGGAAAACATTTGGCCATTATCTCTTTAAATATTTTTCTGTCACTCCCCTCACTTTTTCTCCTCAGGGACCCCAATTATATTTATGTTAGACCATTTAATATTGTTCCTCAGATCCCTGACACTCTGTTAATTTAATATTTTTTTTCCTACTGTCTTTCAGTTTGGGTAATTTCTGTGATTATGTCTCCTAGGTCACTGATCATTTGCAGTCTTTATTCTACTTTTAAATTCATCCTTTAATTTTTTAAAATTATTTTTATTAACATATAATGTATTATTTGCCCCAGGGGTACAGGTCTGTGAATCGCCAGGTTTACACACTTCACAGCACTCGCTATAGCACATACCCTCCCCAATGTCCATAACCTAACCACCCTATCCCTAATCCCCTTTCCCCTTGGCAACCCTCAAGTTTTTTTGTGAGATTAAAAGTCTCTTATGGTTTGTCTCCCTCCCAATCCCACATCTTTTAATTTTTTTACTGTTAAGTTTCTTGGCTCTTGGAGTTCCATTTAGTTCTCTTTTGTATCTTACATTTCTCCTTCTTTGTGTTCATGTTTTCCTTGAAATCCATGAATACATTTACCGTCATTGTTTTAACTACCTTGTCTGCTAATTCCAGCAATTGTCGTTTCTGAGTTTGTTTGTATAATCTGTTTTGCCTCTGGATTATGAGTTAGATTTTTCCTCTTAATGGGTCTAGTAATTTTGGGGCACCTGGGTGGCTCAGTCAGTTGGGCATCCCAACTCTTGTTTTTGGCTCAGGTCATGATGTCAGGGTCGTGGGATGGAGCCCTGTGTTGGGCTCCAC